CAATATCATCACACTGATTGGAGTCAAGGTTGGCTCACTCCTGGCTCCAATTAGCTCTGGGAGAAGTCATTAAGCTAGGGCCTCACATACTTTTTCCTCCCTGCACTGTGAATGTTTACATGTTATGTGCAATTAAACCATGGCAACATCTAATGTTTGTGTAGTATTATGTTCAACAGACTGTGTTCTTCTATTGTTGTGACTTAGGTGACGTTCAGAGCACATGTTATGCCCAATTCATGCAAAACTCCACGTAATCCCAAGGGGTTCACATACTTTTTCTTGCAACTGTAAGTGGAGCCAAAGGACAAAACACAATGAAGAAACATGAAAACGGAGGAAGATAAGTAGAAATGTGCAGTACAATTCTGAATTTAAATATTGCAAAGTGTAAGTTGTACAATATAGTTTATACTATACAAACACACCTGACAAACTCCAGTCCTCCTTGAAGGGCAACATCATGCTGCTGTGCTCGACACTACAGGTGTAGACATCACCATTTGTCGGAGTGATATGTAATGTGAGACAGGTGAGGTAGGTGATGTCAGGAAACGGTAAGGTCACTCTGTCCGTAAGATTCTCTGGCACTGGCTCCCCATTTTTGTACCATGTCATGGAGATATTCTTGGGGTAATGTCCATAAGCCCGGCAGTTCAGTCTGGAAGTGGAATTTGTGATGGGTGTTTGTGTCACTCTCACAACCGGTTTTTCTGTAGAGGGACATGGATGGAAAGACAAGATACAGAGTCTAGAAATATAAGGCAAGCTATACAGAGCAAGAACCAATTGGAGTACATGTGAAGCAATGGTAAAATATAGTGTGCTTGGGAATGTTAACATGTATCTAAACCTAAAAACAATAATTTAGTATATTGTCACTTACCAGTCCCATAGTGGCTGCCTTCATTTTTCTTTTATTGGTCACATGAGGTTGGAGACAGATGCCCAAGTCTGGACGTTTAGGTATTCATCCCTCACCACCAGGGCCGGGACAAGGGGTGGGTGGAAGGGGCGGCTGCCCTGGGTACAGTGGTCTGCTGTAGGGCTGGGGGCACCTTCCTTCTTTTACAAGGAACAGGAGTAGTGACAGCGGAAGTGATTTTGAAAAGCGAGTAACTGCTGGGCATAAGATCCCCTAAGCTTGCACACTATGACCCAGGGGAGGTGGGGCACGGTTTGGCATCTTTGCACTGGGTGCTGGATGACCTTGTCCCAACACTGCTAACCACGGTAAACCACATGGGAACAGCGGTGGTTGATGTCAGCCTGACATTACTTTGTACAGGCTGAGTGGTGGCCACAGTTCACATACACCTGTCATTTCAGCTGCAAGAATCCATTGATTATTGCCACTGGAACCCGCTGTCTGCAGGGAAATGCCTGCGTAATGGAAGCCTTAATCTCCAGCTTTTATTAAAGAATATGTAAAATCAACATTTCAGATTCCTGCTATGTGCCTGCTGTACCATGTACTTGTATGTACTTGTATGAAAAAGTATCATGTTCTCTTTATACTGCTTCCTTTGTGTGAAATCTCTGATATTCCTGCCAGTCCCTCTGCTTTCCTAATAAAAAAATGACCACATTAGGCATGCAAGCAGAGCGTGGTCAATTATATAGCTGTGTTGAGAACTCAGCCTGCTCTCCTCCAAATTTTCAGACTTCTGGTGACACTCCCCCTCTGTACAGCCATTCACTGGGAAGATCAGTGTGCTACTGTTTCTCCTCCCCTAGCTCTTTTTCAGCTGAGAACAGAGGGTATGTGGTCACTTACAAAAAAGGGTAAAAAGGCATTTCTAATGTTTTCTATATCTATTTTAATTTGTTTTTTTTTTTTACATGGTGGGGGTTTACAATCACTTTATAATATATCTGATGATTGCAATGCTCCATTTTTGGCTCCTTCTGTTGCATTCTTCTTAAAGTAGAACTGAAGGCAATTTTGTTTCTCTTTTTGATAGAGTAAGGGAGGGTTATGACTCTTCGTATATGTGTGCCATTGGGGAGATTTCCCTTCACTTCTTGTCCAATAGCTACAACAGGAAGCAAGAGGAAATCCCTGGTAGTCACCAGAACTAGCATCCCCACTGGAAAATTTCTCCTCTTTTCCTGTTCACTCAAAATGTGGGATTTTCTTTTACTTTTACTTTTGGTTATACTAGTCACTAGAACAAACAGAGATGGTGGATCTCCCTAATGAGACAGACCATTTTTAAAAACCTGACAGCTGTCAGGTCATCTTCATTCTATCCAAAACTAAGAAAGGTTTTGCCTTTAGTTATAATTTATTTTAAGAAAAAATATCCAACAGGGACAGTGGGACCCCTCAGAATGTACATTTTAATTGTTATAGTTCATACCCCTTGAGGAAGCAGATGCTGTCTGGGAAACGCGTTGAGTACAGTAACCTATCCATCATGTAATAATAACAGTTTGGAATCTACATTGTCATGTGGACTCTGCAACAGCTATTTAAATATTGAATAAGGTGTGTTATATGAATGGGTGCCTATGTATTGGTGTTTTAAAGATAATATTTTATATATGTGATGTACTAAAAAAAATATTTTTTTATATCAAATTTTGCATTTAAGCCTTGTTCACATTTTGTGTAATGTGCAATTTTTTTTGCATGATTTATGCACGTTTCCCTACCTAGGGCAGTCCATTTACTTTGGCTGTTCAAGGTGTATTTGTAGCACCAAAGAAACTCAAGGACCAAATTTTGGACCTGAGCCAGGTGCTTTTTGATGAGAGTTTTTCAGCATATTTAATGTGTTTTGCTGTGCATCAATCTAAACAAAATCGTAGTGCGTTTGCAGTGTCATTAAGAATGAATACTGTGATTTTTGTGTGATCTGGAAACTCGGACAGAATTGGCGTGATTTTGTACAGGCCTCCAAATTGCTAGATGTGAACGGAAAAGACAAGTGCAGCACTCACTTCAGGGTGCTTAAATGTCCATACCAGGAATCTGAAAGTTTGGTGCTCTGGCTCCAAGTGTCCTCCAAACACTTTGTATAGGATACGGATAAATATGAAGAGCTGGCAACTCAGACATACATGTTCAAGTCTTTATTAGCTACAAAGTGGCGTCAGTTAAAACAGATTACGCATTTCGGCAAATAGCAGAAGTCATAGATAGAACATAGGCTATTTTCCAAAATGAGTAAACTCTTTCACCTGTCATCACGTTGTAGAAAATAAAGACATGAACATGGATGTTTAAGTTGCTGGCTCTTCATATTTATCTGTAGGTGTGAATGGAGCATTAACCTAGGCTCACATCTGTGCGGGTGTTGCCGCTGCGGATCCGCACGAAAATCCATGCAGCCGCACCACCAGCAAAGAGAAATGCGGACCCGCAGGTGGGTGCCATTAGTTCTAATGGCATGCTGCCCACACTGGAAAATGCAACCGTACTGGGAACCGAGGTTCCCGTTCAGGCCGGGGTTTTCAAAGAAGTGCAGGGACTTCTTCCCTGTGCATCATGGGCACAGGAGTCCATTCAACTGAATGGGCTCTGTTGCCTGTGCAAAACGCGGCCTGCATGGCCGCATACAGTATATGTGAACCAGGGATTAGAGTGGTGCTCAAAAAGTCCAGCTATCTCTATACTGTAAAGATATTGCCTTTAGAAATCCAACAGGGACAGTAGGACCCCTTTAAAATGGGCGTGGCAGGCACACAGCCCTGGGAACCCAGTGCAGAGATTTCTCCAATAAAATTCAAGAGAGAGATGTCAGTTTTTTAATGTTACTGCATGTTAGCAAAAACCCTGAAATACCAATTGTGAGTGGACGCATCCTAGAGTTATGCATGCAAAAAAGCACAGATCTTTGTTTCTTCCTGTGACAAACATAAATGTAATAGGACAGCACAGTACCTCTTCTGTTAAATGTGCAGTTCCCCAGTGACAGAAGCTCAGCAATATGCGGAACACAATTGTTCAACAGAATTTTCTTGTTCTGCTCTCCCATAGTCTTGTTCTGATTAAAGAGATCAGCAAAGTATTGCACTCTCGAATCCTCTGCAATCCAGTGCGCCTTCTCCACAAAAAAACGAAGGAACGGTCTTCCATCATAATGATAACTGAATACTGTGTCAATTGTACCATTATCATAAATAATGCATCCCAGTAACCTCTGCAGAACATGGAACCCTGCAATCACACCAGAGAGAGCAAAACACAGAATGAACAGAATGCATGTAACCTGAGAATGAGGCATTGGGTTCCTTCTTACACTACAATAGCTGTGCACAAATTTAGATTCAGTTACTCCACTGTGCTTCTCTTTCAGTATATCATTATCAGCATCTGAAAAGAAAGTATTTCCTTTGTCTGTATTTGCATTTGGCTGTTTTTCATATATGTGTGTATGTGTATTGGCTGGCTTCTTTTATATTGGGATGTAGCCTCCACCTTTGTGCTTTGTGTTACAATGGGGTGGATTTAGCAAAACTGGTGCAGCCATGCAGCTTGTCTAGTTGAAGGATAAGTTCACCTTTTGGACAAAAATACACGTAAAAAAATGTGAATGTATTATTTTTGTCCAAAGGAGCCTGGAAAGCATTGCACCAGCGATCAGTAGATGATGCAATGCAGGTCTCCTGCAGATCTGTCAGAATATCTGCATGCTGTACGGGATGTGCGGTAAAACAGATATACTGATAGGAAGCTTCAATGAACTACCATAGTGCTCCACAGCGCCGTGGTAGTTCACTGAAAACTGCAAGCACACAGACACTAATGCTGTCGGGACTTGCAGTTCATTCATTCATGGAAGTCCGTGAATGAATGATGCAGGCGTGTGGGCGGAGCCATGCACGACCGCACTATTTTTCAAATCTGACAGATCGATAATATGGGGAAAAGTCTCCCCGTACTGTCAGAGGGAGGGGGGCAGGGGACGCGGCGGCAGCTATGGGAACATATTACATGTTTCACCCTAAAAACAGGTGGAACATGAAACATGTTCCAAAGGTGAACTTATCCTTTAACCCCCCTGTCGGTATTCTCGAGTGTATCTCGGGTTAAAGTTTCAGTACCAAAAGCGGTAACCCCGAGCTACACTCAGGAATAGATAAAAAAAGGGGGGTAAAATGAGCGCTGGGATGGTATTAGAACAGGATATAAGCAGCTGGCATGAAAGGCAAACCTCAAAAACGCCTCATAGGATAACAGTCACAAAGAGAAAAACATGCAGCGCTAGAATATTGAGATATACCTCGCAATGCAATATGACCACCTCAATGGAGATAAACGCAGCTAGCATATAAGTACTGGTATATAAAACCCGTACTACAACATACTCTTAGTCAAAAAAGGTGTACATGGTGACATTGGTGTCAAAGTCAATATATCAGTGGAGTGACATAAGGAAATCTGTGACTTTTGTGGTAGGAAGTGTGACTGTAGAATGCACTACCCAGATAGCGCATATGATATCGCATTGGAGAAAAATGACCTACTCCTGGTCACTGGATAAGGAACCCTGCTGGAGTGTTGGTCGTCTCTGCTGCAGTCACCAGAATCATCTGTATCCTCTCCAATGGGAGATCCCTTTGACAACGTGCCATTGCCACGAAACGCGTTAGTGAGATGCTATATGACTTACCACCACTGTCCACATGGTCCACACATTGATACGGGCGGCAATTCTTATACCTACTTGGAATTGTGAATTATATCATGTAAGTGCTTCGTTTGTTTTACACCCCCTAATAAAAGTTACTACACTATTGGAAGCCTCTCTTTTGGGTTTATTTCCGAGCCCTCAAGGTGACTCCTGTCCTATGAGCGTGCCCTGCACCCCCTGGAGGTTGCCGTCATTAAGGATTCCACAACATAATGGATGAGCGTTTACCCCACTGGAAGTTTGGTGATGCCATAATTGGAGAGGATACAGATGATTCTGGTGACTGCAGCAGAGACGACCAACACTCCAGCAGGGTTCCTTATCCAGTGATTATATGCGCTATCTGGTTAGTGCATTCTACAGCCACACTTCCTACCACAAAAGTCACAGATTTCCTTATGTCACTCCACTGATATACTGACTTTGACACCAATGTCACCATGTACACCTTTTTTGACTAAGAGTATGTTGTAGTACGGGTTTTACATACCAGTACTTATATGCTAGCTGCGTTTATCTCCATTGAGGTGGTCATATTGCATTGCAAAGTATATCTCAATATTCTAGCGCTGCATGTTTTTCTCTTTGTGACTACACTCAGGCATACCTTGCAGCGTTGCTCTGGGATCTCTTCTTCACTTACCTTGTCATGCGCTCCCGCGATGTCCCCCCTGCAGTGTCCCCTGTAATGTCCTCCGGCGGATGCCGGCATCTGTCTTACGGGATCCGTTCCCTGCGACGTCGGGACATAGGGGGGACGGAACTGGCGGGAAATTTAAAAATGTCAAAAAGTGACATTCACTAAATACACTAAAATCACATAGTAAAACATTACTGTATCAAAGCATTTCACATACATTTTGTCCCGACTGCTTTGTCCTGTGCCCTGCCTGCATTATTACTGTTCTTTCTGCCTGGAAACTGAGAAATGTCCATGGTGTCCAAAAAGCGTTCCTTTAGGTCAAAAGTGGTTTTAGACCGGCTAGAGAACAGCGATAGTAAATCAGAACTACTTGCAGAATTGAGTGATAATGATTCGTGGGGAAATTCATCATCAGACACTGAAAACGATTCTGCGACTTTGCTCAGTGATGTGCGAACTTGGCGCTATATTTCAAATTTCAGTGTTTTTGGTTTGATTATATTATTGAATTCAATTTAATATTATTATATTTATTATTTTTTATGATTATTTAATATATTATAATTTATGATTTCGTGTTTCAAGTTTTATCCTACCCGGGATGTTTACTAGACTCTTGTTCGGACAGATTTCAGTGAGTTATTCCTAAAAATTACAGGCCTACAATAAAAAAAAGACATATTTCCATGCAAAAAATTTTACCGCTTTGAGCACAGAAATACTGACATAATCATACCGCTAGGGAGGTTAAACTTTGGTAATAAAACCTGGAAGCTGATCGATTTCAGCACAGAGCTGCACCAGATTTTGCACCATGCAGTTTAAGGCTCGGTTCACACTACTGTGACCTGAAAGTTGAGCGACTTACGGTGTGACTTTGCCAGGCGGCTTCCTGGTGACTTGAGTATGACTTTGAAGTGACTGCAATGCCATGCAGCTTTGCTTTACTATGATTACTTTGGTAATCTTCCTGTAATGTCGGATCCAAATCACATCAATATGGATGAGGATTTGACTTGGAGGCGATTTCCATTGAAGTCTATGGATACAAGTCCGATAGAAGTCGTCTTGAAGTAGTACAGGAACCTTTTCCAAAGACAGAGTGACTTCAGTAGTGCTAATTAGGACAACTCTCATTGACTAACATGGGATTTCACATGTCATGAGACTTGTCATGGAGTCTCACAAGTCGGATCCCAAATTGCGGTAGTGTGAACTGAGCCTTAGGGTTAGTTCACACCACATATGTTCCAGTGATTTTTTTCTGCATCCAAAATGCATAGAAAGTAGGTTAAATGGTTTTCAATGGCAAAGTTCACACCAGTGCTTGCAGGTCCAGTGTGTTCTTGTTCCATAAAAAAAAGGAGGACATGCTGCATTTTTCCTGCACATAACTGTAGTGGAATGCACTAAATGCATCAAAAAATGCACTGGAATGCATCAAAAATGCATTGGACCCCAGTACAGTAAAAAGAAAACATCTGAGACGCATCCAGAAAAGCATAAAAAATGCACCAAAATGCATCCCAGGACCCTGCATTCACTATATCTGGTCTCCCACAGTACACAGAACATGGAAATGCAATTATTGTGGTAAAAAAAACTGTAGCTGCTGACTTTTAAAAAACAGTCACTTGCCCGTCCATCGATCCCATGGTGTGTGTCCCGCAGCCCGTTTCACCGGCCGTCCTGTATTCCAGGAGGACAGCATCTTCAGTGTGGGCACCCACCTGTGATAGCTTGCGGCTTCACAGCTGGGGGCCCACTGCGCATGCACGAGTAGCTCTGCGCTTCATGAATGGTCCTGTAGTCTTCTGGGACCTGTCACATGTCCCAAAAGACAACAGGGAGGGAGGACATACATTTTAATTTATCTTATCGCTGCACTATTGTTTTGTGATGATTATTTTGCTATGTATTATGGTATCATGCTAGCTGCTATGCTTTTTGACATCCAACGGAGTCCTAGTGCATTTTTTTCATTCTTATTGATTCTGCTGGTTGCATTCTTACCAGACTTCCCTATGGGATGGGAGAACCTAGTAAAGGAGGCAGAGATGGAAGGTCGGGGGCAGGGGCAGGGGCAGACTGACAAATCATGGGGCCCCCGGGCAATAGGGGATCATGGGGCCCCTGTGTCCTTGCCCAAACTCAAAAAAGCCTATGAAAAAGGTACCAGGGGCATTTCATGGGCCCTCCTACTGACCCTGGGCCCTCAGGCAGTGCCCAAGTTTCCAAATGGTCACTCCGCCCCTGTTCGGGGGACCCTCTTCCACCACCTATAAAAAAGTAATCCAACTTCTGTATAGCAGCTCAGATTACTTTTCCATAAAACTGAAAATCACCTGCTGAAAGGATTGATACCAGGATCATGGATGTAGCTGCAACCATGACCCTGGTATGACTTCAACCCAACACTGTTTATAGGGGCTGGAAGTGGTTAAGCTGCTAAGGCAGCCAGATGGAGATGTAGACATGCCACAGCTGCGATACTTTGCTTTAGACTGCCACAAAAATGATCCCCCTAACCATGTTTGGTGGGGAGTACTGATACCGAAAGCCACATATTAACCGCAGAAATACTGCTGAAGGGCAGCACGGGTGCACAAAATCACGTATGCATATGTGATTTTGCATTTCTGGATAGGGGCCAAGCACAAGGCGTGTTTGCGCGCTACCCAAGCCGCCATTTGTGGCTACGGCTGTCAATCACCGTGTCCCGGCCAGTGATTACTCGCTTTCACACGGTGATTACCGAGGATCTCCGACAGAGAGGAGAACTGTTGTATTTACTAACAGTTCTCCTCCCTGTCAGCTCAGGCACACTGCTTTGGATGACTGCACAGCACAGCCATCCAAAGCAGTGTGCTTACAGTGAAACATACAGACACCGCCTCATAGTAAAACACACCCAGCACACAATTAACCCTTTGATCGCCCGTCATGTTTACCCTTTCCTGCCCTGTGCCATTAGTACAGTGTCAGTGCTTTTTTTTTCAGTACTGATCACTGTATTGGTGTCACTGGTGATGTCATTGACACCAAGTCAGTTCCCCTTCAGTGTCAGAATGCCTGCGCAGTCCTGCAGTCCCACTATAAGTCGCTGATCACCACCATTACTAGTAAAAATAAAAAATCCCAGTATATATACCGCCATTTGTAGACGCTATAGCTTTCAAGTAAACCAATTATTTTACACATACTGGGATTTTTTTTTAGCAAAGACATGGAGCAGAATACATTTTGGCCTAAATTTAATTTTTAAAATTTTTTTACTGGACATGTTTAATAGCAAAAAGTTAAAAATATTGTTTTTTTTCTAAAAATTGTCGATATTTTTGTTTTTATAGCGCAAAAAATTAAAACTGCACAGGCAATCAAATACCACCGAAAGAAAGCTCAACTCGTGGGAAAAAAAGGGCGTAAATTTCATTTGGGTGCAGCGTTGCATGACCGTGCAATTGTTAGTGAAAGTAACGCAGTGCCGTAAAGCAAAAAATGGCCTGGTCAGGAAGGGGGTTAAATCCTCAGGAGGGCAAGAGGTTAAAGTGAAGAAGTCTGCACCGCAACTGCAGGCCAAAAATCCTTTTCTCTAAATCTGGAAAGGAAAATGTTTATATTCAAGTTATAAAACCCTTCTTTCAAGGCTATAAAATATTTACTTACCCTGCGTGTCATTCAGATAATTCTTAAATATTCGGAACAATCTTTGCAGGTTCTGCTGCATCATGAACTGATTGGCACTTGCATCCAGCAATGTGGAGTAGGTACTTCTAAACCAGGGCACTCTGCGCTCTATGATCTCACTGATGCTGTCGTACCGGTACAATGTGATGTCATCAATGGACCTAGTTGTGTAATAGGAAGGGTGGTCGTAGTTGGAGTCATCGGTGATGGTTATGAAGAAGTAATGCGAGTGCTTGTCTGTGTATGAGAGAAAAATATCGACAGAGAAAACATGTTTTTGAAGAGAATGTATAGCCAAAACTTTTTAAAATATGTGGACAGAGTAGGGAATAGTTAACGCACCAGTTAGGGTTTTTCTTTTTTGTGTTCTGGGTAGTTTGGGGGAAATTTCCCTTCACTTCCTGTCCTGGAAACACAAAAGGAAGTAGGAAGAAACTCCCCTCTTAGCTGTTGATCCCAGAACAGGTGTATTGAAAATGTTCTCCCACCTCTTATTTTGGGGACAGATGTATAAATTTTGATTGGTAACACTGATAGCAATGAAAACTGGTGTACTGACCCCTCTCCACTCTATCCAAAACTAAAAAAAAATGTATTGTCTTTTGTTATACTTTAAGCTTCTATCCCCTTCATTATATTCCTTGTCAAACTTCCAATAAAAATATTTAGATATTTCCACCTCTTGAATTACTATTGTCAAAAAAGCTTTTTTTTTCTTTTTTTTGTGTCAAACACAAAAAGAACTTTCATCATAACACCAAGTGCATTGAAGTATGAATTTCCATGGCAAGGAATTGATGTGAAAAGAAAAACAGAGTAGTCTACAGTTTAAATAAATGAAAAGGTAAGAATGTCAGGTGGACAAAAACAGCAATTGTTTTAAGTCACTGATGTTCGTACGACTAAAATTACATATAAATGTTGGTTGTAAGTATTAAGCAACTTGAGTCAAGACAGAGATTGCCAGTCACCCTCACTGAATACCAGGTTACTTGTTCTTGTCTTAACCACTTAAGCTCCAAAAGATTTTACCCCCTTCAAGACAAGGTCATTTCTTTCTATTCAACACTGTGCTACTTAAACTGGTAATTGCACAGTCATGCAACACTACACGTAAATGAAATTTATATAAAATGGTCTGCAACTGGTTAAAGTGGAACTAAACTTATAGTGGATGCAACCTCAAAACTACAAAATTTAATATATTGCAGCTTAACCCCTTCGCGCCGATGTCACACAAATATTCGGCCTCACAGAACTGGGCTTTTTTCCGTGGGGCCGCATATTTGCTTACCTGTCTTTGTGCTGAGAGCGCACCGCACATAGCACTCCCAGCACAAAGACCGCTGTGTCACTGAGAGCCCTGGTCCTGGTCTAATGATCGGGATCCGGGACTCCCAATTCCGAGTCACATGATTGCTGTGATAGCCTCTGATTGGAAATCACAGTGATCAGTCACTGTATAGCCCACCCCCCACCCCCCTTTTTGTCTATGAATGGAGGCGAGAGATACATTGTATCTCTCTAAC